TTCTGAAAAAAAAAAAAAAAAAAAAAAAGCTAAAAAAATTGCCTGTATTTTCGCCCCACCTTAATTCTGCTGTTTCCACTACCATCAGCATCACCAACATCAACATTTTCAATAACAACAACTACGTACATACATATTCGTTTTTGCTACTTTTTTTCCTTTTTTATTTATTCATTTTTCTTTCATATCACCGTATTCTGTTTTTAACTCATCATTTTCACTCAATTTTAAAAGAAAGCAATTTTTTTTTCGTACATTTAATAAGAAAAATGATTTTGTAAAAAGATGAACATAGCTGATATTGATGGTAATATCTTATTTGTATCTCGTGGTCAACTTCAGCTTTTAAATTCTTCTATCATTTTTACAGTGATTTACAGTTGTTAAAGTGTATACTTAAGACGACATTACTGCTTTATGGTCACAGTTACAGCTGTTATTTTTAAGACTACTTAACACTTGACAGCATTCTAATGCTAGACAATTTTGAAATAATTTGAATAGTATTTTTGTTTTGGTCTGAACTCATTCGCATTGCTTGATCTATAAATGACTGTTGAGATAATCAGTATAATTTTAAAAAAGATATATAACCATTTTATGTTACTCGCTACTTCGGCATTTCTCTTGTTATTTTATTTTCGCTTTGTTGTTTGCTTCGTTGTTAAGATTTAATAAAAAATAATGGTATGATTAACACTTTTTGAAGGCAATAAATTCCACCGTTTATAATATCATCGCTGTTTACTATCATTATTTGCAGAAGGCTAAACTGATCCAGTTAACAAATAAAATGTTTACCTAGGCTAAAACATAGATTTTTCCTGGTTGTGTTTTTTTTTTTCAGCTAAAATAGTGCCAGTTAAACTTGGCAGTTTAGTTATAGTAAGAACGTCAACTCTTTTAGACTTCTGTAGGAGCAAATTGATGCCTGAGATACCGCTCAAGCTTAAAAAATATTTGCATTTACACTTTCTGCTGCTAGAAATCTGAAATCTGGTTGATTCTGTTACAAAAGCACTTTCTCTTTCCTTCTACCGCAAAAACTTGTGTTTTCTCTTTACTGTTCGTGTAATCGGGAATTATTTCGTTGTCTTTTTTTTTTTTTTATCTGTTTGATATGCTAAAATGATAGCAGAACATTTAACAATTCAGCTGTAGCTCGGTGGATATTTTACTATCTAACTTTGATGCTCACCGTCAATTTGTATCGGTGTCTTCAGTTTTGTCATTGTTCGCAAAACCTGGAAAGAGTGTTTGTCAGAACTTTTCACTAAACTTTATTTTTCATGCTCATTATTATTATTATTATTATTATTATTATTTTTTTGCAGAAATATTGGAAATAATAAAATACATCATTTTTCTATCAGATTCTGATATCACATATTCAGTAAATCCGGTTTTGGTTGTTTTTCATCACTCAAGTTGCTAAAAATGCCGTCATCACCGACTATCGACTTGAATACGTTATCTTCCGAACTGCATAAAATTGCTTTAGCAAAGTTAGTAAGCATTTTAAGTCAAAATTTGTTGAAAACAGTTCTTATATTGTTGGTGTAAAAAATATTTGGCACGCAATACTCAGTTTGACTGCCCATTTTGCTAGTTTTTTATCAAAAAAAAAAAAAGATCGGCAAAAAAAAAATAAATTTTTTTATCTGGTCATAAATTTATGTTTTCACATCTGTACAGTAAAGTTAAAGCCAAGAAAATTCTAGACAGGGCTGAGAATTTCAAATGAACTTTCATGTGCTCGTTTTCTTCTTTTATTTTTCTCATCTCTTTACCACTGCTGATGGTAACGGGGGGTAAGGGGGTGGGCAGCAGTGACGGCAGTGATGGTTAAGAATTAAAACGAAACAATAATGTATTCATTTGAACACCGAAATTAAAAGATATAAAAAATTGAATTGTTTCTATTTGCAGAATTAAACTTGAAGATTTGAATAAACGTCGAAATGAACTGTTGTCGGAGTTGGCGGATTTTCAACAAACCAAAAAATTCATTGATGAAGCGCAAAAAACAATCACTGAGTTAAATGAAGAAAAAGATTCACACAGTGAAATGATACAACAGATCAATTTGGTATTTCTATACCATTTTAACTTTAATTGGTTTCCTTCTATTGAAAAAAAAATAATTAGCATTTTTGTCACTAACTTTTGTGTGGTTGCCTGTACACCAGAAGTGTCGAAAACTGCAACACATTGACAGTTTTATTTATGGTTGACAGTTACGGTAGAGCAATGCTTTGACACTCCTCTTAGCAACGTCATCGTTCAGTTTTTGTCTTTATCATTACAACGACTTAACTTTTTTTCTTTTGGTCTTA